CGTTGTTTTTAACGAGCCCGAGCCGAAGATGATGCGTCATTTGAGGCCTCTCTACATCAAAGCCACACTTGACGACGTACCAATGTCGAGAGTCTTAGTTGACAATGGCGCCGCAGTAAATGTGATGCCAACAAGGATGCTGAAGAAGTTGGGCAAGAGCACTAATGACTTGATCCCAACGGAAGTGTTTGTGACAAACTTCAATGGCGGGTCCACTTCTGCCAGGGGAATCCTCCCAGTGGTCGTGGGAGTTGGATCACAGAAGCGGATGAGTGCTTTCTTCGTCGTGGATGGAATGATAAGCTACAATGCACTACTTGGCCGGGATCGGATCCACGCCAACAAGTGCGTTCCTTCATCGCTGCATCAGTGTTTAATGTTTTGGAATGAAGACGGTGTTGTTGAGGTGGTACAGGCTGACACAAAGCCGTTTGCCGTTGGGGCCAACGTGGCTGAAGCTTATTTGTACCATGGTGATTTTGGGCCACTCAAAATCAGGAGCGGGGATGGAGGAACGACCAACGTCATAGTGTCAAGTTCACAGGTGCTAAGTAAGGCGTGTTTGGATCCATTGTCCGAAATCGTGAGACCATCGATGATCACATTGGATGGTCCACTGAAATCTGATGAACAAGCCGATGATGAGTGAACCACCTCGAGAGGAGGTGGTGGAGGCCGAAATCACGGCCTTGCGGGAGAAGTTGGCCGTCTATCAGTGTGAACAGAGGCTTGCCTGCATGGAGCCTGTCTTGATGGCCGACTGTGTTCCCGACGATGATGACTTGCCGATTAACGGCGAGGGTGTGAGTGACGAAGTGGAGAAGAAAAACAACCTTGCTGCATGTGACATTTTAGAGGAGATCAACCTCGGCACGGAGGAGGATCCACGCCCAACCTTCATCAGTGCCGATTTGCCAGAGTCTGACAGGTACGAATTAATTGAATTCCTTAAAGAGTTTAAAGACTGCTTTGCATGGGATTATCATGAAATGCTTGGTCTCGATAGGAAGTTAGTTGCACATAGACTTCCAATTAAAGAAGGTTATAAGCCACATAGACAACCACCTAGGCGGTTTTCGCATGATATCTTGCCTGAAGTGAAAAAGGAAATTGAACGTTTAATGAAGGCTAAGTTTACCAGGACTGCTAGATATGTGTTATGGTTGTCGAATATTGTGCCTGTTAGAAAGAAAAATGGCAAAATACGTGTTTGTGTGGATTTTAGAAATTTGAACAATGCTACACCAAAAGATTTGTATCCCATGCCGGTGGCTGACATGTTAATCGATGCCGTAACCAGGCATGTCAGGTTTTCTTTCATGGACAGTTACTCGGGCTATAACCAGATATACATAGCCGAGGAAGATGTGCACAAAACGGCGTTTCGGTGTCCAGGATCCATTGGCTGTTTCGAGTGGATCATGATGCCATTTGGATTGGCCAACGCCGGGGCAACTTACCAACGAGCCATGAATGCAATATTTCATGACCTGATTGGCGAGCTTGTCGAAGTGTACGTGGACGACATCGTCGTCAAATCAAAGGTGACAAACCACCACCTTGCTCATTTGCGCAAAGCATTTTTGCGTATGCGTGTTCATAAGTTGAAATTAAATCCGCTCAAATGTGCATTTGGTGTGAGTGCAGGAAATTTTCTCGGTTTTCTGGTAAACCAATGTGGAATTGAGGTAGATGGCAACAAAACAAAAGCCATCATCAGTGCCGCACCACCATCCAGTAAGAAAGAGTTGCAACGTTTCCTCGGCCAGGTAAATTACATTCGAAGATTTATCTCGAATTGTCCTGGCCGGACCCAAGTGTTTTCCTCACTGCTGAAGTTGAAAAAGGAAGACAAGTTTGTATGGAGGGAAGAACATCAACGAGCATTTGATGATATCAAGAGATACCTGGCGACTCTGCCGGTGATGAACTCTCCCAAAGCAGGGGTGCCGCTGAAGTTGTACTTGTCGGCCACGGCCACTTCTGTGGCATGTTTGTTGGCGCAAGACAACGAAGCTGGCAATGAAGAAGCCATTTATTATCTAAGTAGGCTTCTGAACGAGGGCGAGAGAAAGTATTCCCCCATAGAGAAGTTATGTTTAGCGTTGTACTTTTCTTGTACAAAACTACGCTACTACCTGGTCCCTGTCCAGGTACAACTCATTTGCCAAACAGACTTGATTAAATACATGCTATCTCGGCCAATTATTCATGGCCGAATTGGCAAATGGACCTTGGCTCTGTCTGAATTTAATTTAGAGTATGTACCTCAACGAGCCATAAAAGGGCAAGCATTGGCGGACTTCTTGGCAGATCATCCCTGCATTGAGGTACCAATCGATCCCGTAGAAGTCTGCGAGGTTGGTATAACGCCATGGATCCTATATTTTGACGGGTCCAAAACTCGTGGCGGTGCCGGGGCTGGTGTGATGTTGAAAGCACCATCAGGCCGGGCCATGCATTTTGCATTCTCGTTGGATTTTCCTTGCACCAACAACCAAGCTGAATATGAAGCTTTGGTAGTCGGGCTAGAAATGCTCATAGAGCTTGGAGCCCGCTACGTGGATGTTAAGGGAGATTCACAGTTGGTGGTTCATCAGGTCCGCGGAGATTTTCGCTGTATCAATAGTGTTATAGAAACATATCTGGACCATGTATTGTCGTTGACGTCCCACTTCGACAGTATGGCGATCAACTTTGTTCCTCGAATGGACAATTGCGAAGCCAACTATCTTGCACAAATGGCTTCGGGGTTTAGAGAGTTTGCGAAAAGCAATGCAGTAGAGCAAATAGTGGTGCAAACACTTAAGCCCTTGCGGGAGCGATTGAAAGTTGAGCAAGTGTGCGTAATAGAGAAAGACGCCGATGACTGGCGTGCACCACTGTTGTCTTACTTGCGAGATCCAAACAAGGTTGTTGACCATGCCATCAAGTTTAGAGCAAGGAGCTACGTAGTTTTGGATGGGACCTTGTATAAACGCAGACCTGATGGGTTATTGCTGAAATGCTTGGGGGGCAAGGAGGCATTGCAAGCCATGGTAGAGGTGCATGAAGGAATATGCGGAGCTCACCAAGCCGGTCCTTCCATGCGATGGATTCTACATCGCTATGGATTCTACTGGCCCACCATCGGGCCAGATTGTGCCGCATATGCCAAGGGCTGCGAGGCTTGTCAACGTCACGGTCCTGTTCAAAGGGCGCCGGCGGTTGACCTGAAGTCAATAATCAAACCGAGGCCGTTTTATGGTTGGGCCATGGATTTGATTGGTATGATTTATCCCCCATCGTCAAAGAAACATGTTTTCATAATTTTGGCCACTGACTACTTCACTAAGTGGGTGGAGGCCAAACCGTTAAAGGTGGCGAACCAAGAGGAAGTGATTTCTTTCATACAAGAACATATTATTCATCGATTTGGTTTGCCGGCAACGATAACGGCGGACCAAGGAACTGTGTTCACTGGGGGGCAAGTTATGGAGTTCGCGGCGGAGCGGGGGATAAAAATTATCCATTCCACGCCGTATTATGCACAAGCCAACGGGCAAGCGGAAGCATCCAACAAGATCGTGAAAAATATTTTGACGAAGATGATTGAGGATAATCCGCGGCGTTGGCACGAAATTTTGTCAGAAGCGTTGTGGGCATACAGGATGTCCCCGCGGAGCAGCACGAGAGTGAGTCCATTCTCGCTAACTTACGGGCATGAAGCATTCCTTCCCGTTGAAGTGACTGTCAACTCACTCCGGTATATGAAGCAGCACGAGTTAACACCTCAGGAGTATCATGAATCGATGATGCTCGAGCTCTGCGATCTTGATGAACTTCAACTCCGCGCCCTCGATAATGTTCAGGTACAGAAAGCAAGGGTGGCAAGAGCTTATAACAAGAAGGTTCGGCACAAATCGTTCGAAGAAGGCGAGCTGGTTTGGAAAGCTCACTTGCCGATTGGGGAAAAGGATCCCAAATTTGGAAAATGGTCGCCAAATTGGCGTGGACCATTTATGGTACATTCGGTGCGGCCTAATGGAGCCTACTTGCTGAAAGACTTGGATGGAGTAATGCACGAGCGTTTGATAAATGGCAAATATTTAAAGCCATATGTGCCGTCCCTATGGGACGCAGCTGGTCATTAATCTGGGCAGTGACGAACAACCATGTGCTAAAAGTGGCCTGGTCGGCCACCAAGATTGCGCAACGTGGTTGAATAGTACGGTAATGGCGAAGTAGGCAACAAATAAACTAATTCGCCAGCTTCGTTACCAATAAAGAATTTTTTTTAATGCCTTTAAGGCCAGCGGCAGGGTTCACTCGAGTCCAGCCGGTGCGGTACCACTGTTCGGTACCAAAATGTTCTAACCTTATCAAACGAAGCTGTTTTTGCCACGAGAAGTAGGCATGAGTAACAGCGTTGTTGGGCATGGACCATTCGGTATTTGGCATAAGAAAAATCAAGTAGGCTATTGTGGCTAGAACTAGCCAGTCAGCCATGCTCAAACACGGCCGTCGAGATTAGAGCGACGTTACGGATTAAAGAAAAGAGAGCGGCTGTTTGCCAAAATTAGATAGACAATGATGAGCAAACAAAGTTGTTCATAGGTCGAGTTAACATGGAAAATAAAAATATGCAATCCGAGAAACGAAGCCAAAACAAAAATCCAAGGTAAATTCCGAAATGCAGAAAAAGAAGTGCTCTAGGAGCCGGACGACTCGTAATCGGCGAGCTGCTGGGCAATGCGGGACAGGGTGGTGCGGACCCGAGTGAAAAAGCTCTGCACTGCTTGCAGCTCAGCCTGTGCTTCTATCTCCGCATGAGTGGGGTCAGTGGCGATCCTGGCCGCATCCTCACGTCGCATTTGTTCAGCCCCTTTGACGAGAGTCGGCATTGTACTTGCTCTAACCACCTGCAGAGCTGGTACCACGGCTTTCCCGCGTTCCACTAGGTCTTTACCCACTGTGTGGAGGAACGCCATGTCAGCGTCACTAAGTGGTGGGATGTTAATGCTCAAAGTCTCCAGAATTTTGCAAGCAGAGCCGGGCCATACTATGGTTTGGTCACTCATGGAAGTCACCAGAGGAATGCTAAGAAATTGATCCATCATCTTCAATGCTTCTCGGACTCGGCGTCGAAGTTCATTCATGGGCGAAGACGACACGGGAAGGGAGCTAGATGATTCCATCGCAGTATGGAAGCCATGCCCGGTATCAAAATCGTCGGTGCCCTGTCGCAAAAGGAAGCAAGGGTGTGAGTAGGAGGTTAGCCAAAACATGGTTGGGTATTATGAGAAAGCATGAGTATAGCTAACCTCGATGACGGTAGTGGTGCGAAGAGATGGAGGGGGGCGAGTAGGTGGATGATGACTCTCAATAACTGCAACAATTAAGGTTTCAAAAGGGCGGCGAACACTTACATGAGTAATGCCGGAGTTAAAATATGAAAGTCACAGCAAGCATAAAGAGGAGTGCGAGGACGAGGGTCGTACCTGCTCGTCGTTTCAAGTGAGTCTTGAATGCTGATGTAGTTGAACCACAATCGTGGTCAGAAGCAAGCCGGGCGATAGTAATGGCAATGGGGCAGGTCCGGGGCGGGTTTCTTGGTACCCAGACCCGCCCCGTGGCAGGGCGGGTAATTGATCACGGGTCGCGGGTCGGGACAGGTCGACCCAATGGGTATGCAATTTATATGAAAAACATTAGAAATATTCGTTATTTTTATTATAAGACTAAGAAAACAAACAATATTATGACAATTGTAGTTAAATTATTGGAGAAATTGAGGTTTTCGCTAATTTACAACTTTATTATAGCTAAAATATGATGCAATAAAAGGATAATTCAAAGTAATTTGACTAAGATTACATGTAATGTAGATAATAACGGGTCGAGAATGGGGCGGGTCAGGGCAGGTCGGGTCGATGAAACTACACATGCCCGCCCCGCCTACGGGGCGGGTCGGACCCGCCCCAAAACAGGTCAAACAGGTCGGGTAAAACGGGTCAGGTCAAAATTGCCATCTCTACCGGGCGAGGATATCAGATAATGGCTTGCCGAAAATGCGGGATGATAGTGAATGCCATGCATCCTTGAACTGGGGCGAGACTTTATTCACCACGGTTTTATGAGGAGGAAAGTATTGTGCAGATTCTTGGTAACCTCGTACCTCCATAATTTGTCCAGCGGTAAGCTCCGAAGAGCGGATGTGGAATGTTGGAAAATTCAAGGACGTGGGAGGTAACATAGGCCATGCTTGAACGAGTTTGAATTGTCGAGCTGCAAGTTGAGGGTTGTACGTCTCGATACTGAGTACTTCGGAGCCGGTAGGAGCAAAGAGGAGGTCCCGAGCTGTTAGGTAGCGTTTGCGTTCCTCGATGAACTCATGGTAAGCGGCGGCAGCGGGATCACCTCGTGGTGGCGGCTCGTCAAAAACGAGTTTGAACGAAGTAGGGCCGAAAATCCGTTCCGCGAAAGGGGTGAAGCTGGGAATCTCACTGATCCCATAAAAGAAGGTAAAATAATTAGTGAAATCCTCTTTTCGCGAAGCTGCTTTAGCCAAACAATGGCCATATGTGAGCATGGTGGTATCTTGAACGGCGGTTTGAAGAGCTGGTAGAGGGCCGCGAGTCGTCGGGAAATAAGCATGCAGCCAAAGTTGTAGTAGCCATAGAGGGCCAGCACTGAGGATGCCACATGCGTCTGAAGCCTCCTTGACACGGTTCACGATGGTATGCAGACCGCGATAGAGGTGGCAGAGCACAATTTCATCAAGATTGACGCACTCACCAGTGAAGATTGCAAAGGTGGTACGCGCATCCGTGATGGGTTGTTGGGTGCAAAGCACGAATCGACCAAACCAGTAATGAAGGAAGGCAACCCGCTCGCTGTCGGATACGGGTTCACCTGGAACGACTGGCGCGTTGTTGTTGTAGAGCGATTCGTAAGATCGGCCAAGAGCTATCGAGGTAGCTGGGGCCAAAGCTCTCCTTGATTGCATGAGCGGCTTTGATAGGCCAGTCAGGGCCGTTATGTCGAGCAGAGTGATCGTCATCGAGCCCAATGGGAGCACGAAACAGTTCGATTCCGTTGACCAGAAGCATAAAGCGGCTTTGAGCAACTCGGGATCAGGGCTCGGCAGCTCTGAACATAGAGAGAGAAAGCGGTCGAGGCCTAATGCCTGCCATTGAGATACAGTTGTGGCATCATGGGCCAACCGACCATGCCAAAGTTTGAAGTCGGGATCCGGGATGGCCAAAGAGAGGGCTCGGGTCTTCCATTTAAAGAGGGGACTGATATCGGGAAGACGAAACAGAAGCTGGGAATCGTGAATTGGAAAGGCGTCCAAAAGCTCCATAATGGCAGTGGACCGATCGCGAATGAGTGGACCAAGCCAGCCCTCTGCATTGTCGTCTCTCGATACTATCTCAAGAGTGAAGTCAGCATCGGCTAGGTTTCCTAGGAAATCCCGTCGTTCCCCCGGAGATAACGGGAGGAGAGCCGCGGCGAGGCTGCATTCGCAAAGAAGTGAGTTGGGTTAGTGATGCAGCGGCTATTCACCATAACATGCATTAACTGGGAGAGAACAAGGCTTCAATATTAATGTGGAGTTAGGGGAGCAGAACTTACTCGGCGATCGACGAGAATCCTGGCAATGACATGACGATGACTTCAGCGGCGCAGAAATCTGAGGTACGGTTTTCTACTCCGTTGTTGGTTGAAGTTTGTTTTTCCTTTTACTCGGATAAGTGTAGGGTTGGCACTCGTGGCCTATTTATGGGGAATTGCCGCGGCGGAGTAGAAAGAAATAGTGTCCTTTTTGGTTTAGGATTACGACGTTGGAAGGGATTAGGAAAAGGATGCTACCCGCATCGGTTGGCGAGAAAAGGATTGCCACAAAAATTTTGGTGTTTAGTAAAGCAGCTTTGAGCCTAAACAGAGTGTTCGCGGGCCGATATAGTGTGACTCTGCCACGAGTAGAGTTGTTTCCCCCAAAATCAACGCCGCGAGACTGGTTGTAAAAAAAAAAAAAAAAGAGTCTCAGCGCTGGCGGAAATTTACAGGCCTGAATAATAAAAAAAAAACACAGAAAGTAGAGGCAGCCAATACAGCGCTGAGGAGGAAGTTGAAAAAAAAAAAAATAAATTTCTCTCAGCTCTGCCGCGGGTTCCACGCAGCTCTGGCGGAGGATAAAAAAAAACCATTTTTTTTTTTGCAGGCAGAGCTGCCGCTGGGGCTAGCAGCGCTGGCGCAAAAAATATATAAAAAAAAAAAATTTCATGCAGCGCTGCCGTGGTTTCCCCAGCCGTGAGAGAAGAGGAAATTTTTTTTTCCAGGCCTGCCACAACAGCTCTGGAGGCAAATAAAGAGAAAAAAAAAGAAAGAAAAAAGAAAAAAATCAGCTCTGCCCGCTGCTTCCCCAGCCCTGGCGGAAAAGAAGAAAAATTACAGCCTGTTCCCAACAGCCCTGAAAAAAAAATTAAAATTTTTTTAATCATGCAGCGCTGCCGTGGTTTCCCCAGCCGTGAAAGAAGGGAATTTTTTTTTCCAGGCCTGCCACAACAGCTCTGGCGGCAAATTATGAAAAAAATAATAATAATAAACTAGCCGCAGCATTGCAGGGCTGATGCAGCGTTGTGGATGGAATACACAAGGTAATGAGAACTCCACAAAAATAATTATGTAGGGGTTTGAGCAGCACCGAGAATTGGTTTGCGTGGCCATCACTTTGTTTTGGCAAATCACATAATTTTGCCAACATGGTTTGGTCTGCATGATTCACAAGTTATTTCAAGTGATTTAAATTGTGTAAACAATTTGGTTCATAATTCTTATAAACCAAATTGTGGGGGGCATTTGTTGACACCTAAAATTAATTTGGCCGGAATTAAATGCCGCATTAATTAGTCTCGGCATTTAAGTCGATACCGCTCGTAAAAAACGGTATCGTTGGGAGTCGAGCGGCGTCGCGGAGAACTAAAACGGTACCGCAAGGAAGCTCAGCGGTGCCGCGGTATGCAAACGACACCGTTTACCGAAAAATAAAAGGGCCGCACGCGGGTATTGGAGAATGCGTTTTCTCTAATTAATTTTTATTTTTATTCCTTGTTGGATGGGAAGAAGCGGCACTGAGGGGAGTTAAAACGGGGCCGAGGAATTAAAAACAGTACCGCGAGGAAGCCCAACGGTACCGCTATACAAGCAAACGACAGTGTTTAATAAAAAACAATGTCGCAAAAGGAAAAACAAACGGAGCCGTTTTGGCGCTAACGATGTTGTTGGTCGTGGACTAGTGATGGTCAGATTAGTTAATTAATATTTTAATGACTTCTTAGCACGGTGTCGTTAGTTGAAAACGATGCCGCAAGGGGAAGGAACGACACCGCGGATTTAAAGACGATGCCGCGAAGAGGCCAAACGATGCCGCAGTTGTTAAAACGACAGCGTTAAAGTTAAAGCGGCATCGCAAAGTTCAAGCATCGCAGAAATAGAAAACGATGCTGTTTAAGTAAGAACGGTGCCGCGAAGTGAGAGTTTGACAGCGTGTCAACAATGATGGCCGGTTTAATTAATTAATATTTTAAGGAGCAGTTAAGACGGTGTCGCTTTAGCCGAAAACGACATCGTGGGAGAAGTCGACACCGTCGCGGTACTGAAACGATGGTGTTTAATTAAAAACAACGTTGCAGTGACGAGAGTTCAGCAATGGTGGATTTCGGCTCAGTGTCGTTTTGGACCAAGTTGCCACGTGCTCAAGCGGTTTCGCACTCGTGGGAGTTACGCAACAAGGAGGAAGTTACCTGCACGGTTGACATATGTGAAGACGTGGGAGACAAAGGCGCGAAGGCAGTTACTACGACGAGGAGAAGCACGAAGTATAAAGATTGGGAAGAGAGAGAAGTTCAAGACGGCAAAATCAAATCACAAACTGCACCGTCGCAGATTATCTTCTCTCTAGTTTTCATAGAACCGCTCTGTCAAAGACCTCCTTTGCAGAGTCGTAGTAGTTGTAGATCGTAGTCGTAGTCGCGGAGCTCTCCAGAGGAACCACCATAGGAGTAGAGGTAACTTAACTTAGAACACTCTTGGTTTGGTTTCTCGTTTCTCGTTGAACACCCTCGTTCGAACGTAGTTTGGAGAGGTGGTGAACCGAGTACGGTTGTTTGATTAGAGGTCAAAGGTGCATCGATCAAATCAACGACGCCGACACCGGTGGCGGCCATTTGACGATCGTCTTGATTTCTTCTCTAATCGATCAAATCAACGGCGCCGACATTCGGCGGCGGATATTTGACGGTTGTGATTGACGTGTGTTTTGTGTTTTTCTTGAAAACCGTGCGCAGTAAA